TTTTTATATATAGATAAGGGAAGTTGCTGATTAAAAATATTTTCATCCTCGTTATTAGTTGGCAATTATCGTCTATAGTCAGTAAAACATTCAAATATGAAACAGATGTGGCAGACTCCGGGGTGTCTTTTCGAGTTAACTTGGATATTTCGAGTCGACATGTGGATGAAAGTAGCTATTGTTAGTTGATAAAACGTCATCGATATATCAAAATGTCAAGTTAAAGGCCACAGCAAGAGCTTTCTTCTCGAGTAGATTTTTTTAAAATAAATTATGGTTCATAGGAAAATAAAAACAGTTCGACTTATAAAGGAGCACAATTAATGTCCATCGAAATTCCATTGTTGGAAAACCTTGTTTCCATTTTACAAAAGAACTTACGACTAAGACCGTAAACTTAAGTTAATTTTTATTTAGTTATTTTTATGCTAGAAATTTTAAACAGAATAATTCATTTTGCAAAATTAATTATTCTGTTTAAAATTGCTAGCATAAAAATATCTTTCTGCAGTCATTTTTAGAAAGATTAAAAGCATGTTCAAAATAATGTAAATTAGAAAATAATACGCAGAATTAAATTTTGGTGTTAGACGTTCTTTTGTAAAACGGACCCCTGGTCCCTAAAGACTACACAGATATTGTCAATGAGGAACTCCAGCATGTTTTTAATATTAACTTAGAGTACTGGTATGAAGAATCAGAATGAATTTTAAGAAAGTAATTTTGCAGATGACCAATCACAATGTATGAAAATTTAACGAATTCAATTTTCAATGAGAAAGCAGTTATCTATAATGTCAAAAGCCTGCTCTTTAATATGGTTGAATAAAGCGAAAAGTCGTATGCTTTAATCCTTTTCATGTTTGAAAAGTTTTGAGGTTTTAAATTTTCCAAAAGTTCTTTGGAGTTTTTTTTAGAATCCAAATTTGATTTACACCACTTCTTGAATATGGAGTAGCACAATACGTCTGAAGTTAATATTTTGGTAAGGAATAAGGATAGGGGCTTGGTTGAATATTCACTGAACCATGCAATATACCCTTGTTTGTAAGGATTTCTATGAAGTTTGTGGAATCCAGTGTAGGTATGGTAAATGAAACTCACTTTCACTGACTGGAATGTTAAAAGTATTTAAAACTGAAAGGTGATTTTGAAGAATTTCATCTCTTTAAATGGAATTTAACTGTGAGTATAGGTTGATTACCCGATATGGAATTAAAACCGATTTCTTCTAAAATGCAGTTGTTATACTGAGCCTTACAAACAAAGACTATATTGTTGCAAGCTTTGTCAGCTGGAACCAAAACATCGTTTTTATGTTGTCTCTCTAAATCTTTTATCACTTCTGGTCTACTGAACACGGAAGGATAGATAGCTCGCATTTTGCCTTTTAATTTTCTAATGCAATTCTTTAGTATATATCTGAAACGCTTTATCCGTGACAATTTCAAGGTATTCCTCTTCATATTTAGTCCATCGTCTAGCATACTGCTCGACGGAATTCATAATAGAAATGAAGTTATGTTACCATTTGAAAGGTCTGAGTTCCCTGGATTTAGAACCTTTTCAAATGAAAGCTTTTAGGTCGTCATTTTGAACTATACTTACATCACCAGGAATGGTGTTTCCAGCTGGACTATAGGTGAAAGGAAACGATGAACAAGAACACCTCGGAGGATTTAGTTTTAGATGCCCAATATCTACGTACTACAGAGATTGTTTATAATAGAATTTTTTTATGCAACGGTTGGGGAATATCTTTAGGAAATGCAAGGTGTTGACTTCATCTAAAATATGGTGTAATACAAGACTGAACTTTTTTATGACTGAGAAGAAATTTAATCCAGAACAAAGTCGTGGGTTAAAGAATCTATTTTCTAAGTAAAGTCTTGTTAACTTCCTGCATGTGTAGGCATCCAGTGTCCCTCCTGCGATGAGACTTTGAATTGTGTTGGGTACCAAACGTGCTATCCCGGGGAAGTTTGTATGATTCGGTCGTATCCAGGAACAAAGTTTACAACACATTGTTCAAGGGTAATCTTATTAATGAACACAAAAATTAAACATGATATTACTTACTTCTTTATGGCTATAAATTGTATTTAAATCAAACACGTAAAAATATATTGTGTTCGTTAAAATAGAGTGTATGATTTTTTTCTTACAGAAGGAAGACTGTGCTTTCGAGAAGAACTATATTGGAACTGGCGAAATCTTTTGTTGCAGTGATCGTAAATGTTTAAGTGACAAACTGGGAATATAACACGTATTCATTTTAAGAGTCAATTTTTTTTTGCAAGATATGATCCCAACACCTAGTTACGGATGTTTTACACACTATGCTATGATATGAATGATATATTCATGTATTTTATCAACATTACATTTTGATTTTCTTGGGAAAAGAGCGTCAAAGCCATGTTTTGATATTCTAAAAAAAATAATAAATTTGCAGTGTATTGGCAAATGTTGCCTTTTAAACTGAAAAGAGAAGTATCTGAAAAGAAATGATAGTATTTGAAACTTTAAAATTTGTGTTCAGTTTTATGATCATAAAATAGGAACAGTTGCTGACGACTTGAACGGCTAAGTCAATGTTCGTGTTTACGTAGCTTGTTTTAATCAACATTTTTTGTTTGAAAATTACTATTCGAGGAAAACTTGCAATTCTACAGGAACAGACCTGGTGTAATACTAATGTGTAATGGAAATACATTGTAATCATTACATTTTTTCAAAGTTATTGGATGTAATGTGTAATGGATCCATATCGCAATTTTAAGTAATTGTAATATAATGCATTACTTTCAAAAAATGTCAGTAATAACCATTACTTTTCAATTACATTTCAATTATGTTTCGTATTCGGATCTTTTTTCATTACTGAATCTGAGACAAATCAAGGTCACTGATTGTTATTTTTTTTTGTTAGTAATATTTTACAATCCTGAAATTAAATTCTTATCTTATACATTTCTTTTTTGAAATGTTATATTTTTAATTAAACAATAGTGTGTTTGATTGACATACTAAATAATTGTTTTATAGAAAACTTCTTGACAATACTGTATAAAATCAAGGATAGCTTCAAAAGAAGTGACATGTGACACTTTTCAGTGACATACAAACTTTTTTTAGCTCATCTGAGCCAAAGAACAGCAAGGCCACGAAAAGTCATATTTATATAGAAACATCCACAGGTAGTGCAGATTCAAGTTTGTTCTAATCATGACCCCTAGGGGTAGGGTGGAACCACAACAGAAGATCAAACTTTTACATAGGAATATATAGGAAAAAAAATCTGTAAAAATCTTTCAAAACCATGATTAGTCATAGTTATAAATATGGAATCATTTTCAGTTAGTGTAAATTCAAGATTGTTCAAATTCATGCACCCTCCCCTGCCCCTCTGGGGGTGGGGAGACCACTTATATATTCAATCTTTTCAATACTGAACTGATTTCTGCTTCCTCTAGCCAAAGTCTTCAGGTTAGCGATATGGCTTATGAGTTTCTTCTTAAACTTGATTTTTCAAAGTTCATTCTGGTGAAATCTGGTGAAATGGACTTGATAAACTTGATGCTAGATCAGTATTATCTACAGACGACACGAAGGGAAACTTTAAGACCAAATATAAATATTGACCATCATTCATTTCTGGGAGCTTGAGAGTCACCTCTAACCTCAACTCTCATAGCTAGGTACCAGTAATTGTGACCTTTTTTATGTTATATTATATATTCCTTGATTATGTCAGCTCATTACAAGTAATAATTTATTTAATTATCATTACATACTTTTTTTTCAAATTACAACATTATATCATTTTATTGTAAAACGTAAAGTATGAAATGTTAATTATTTTCAAAAAAAGAAAAGAAAAAAAAAGAACTAACATCAGAGACTTAACACTCAAAGTCCAATCCTTTTCCTTTGTCAACTGTAGACATAAACTTAATTGAAAAAATGGATCCAAAATATCAAATACTACAATTAATCTGACTTAAAATTAACTTGCATATAAATTGTGTGATCTTTAATTTTGCGTTAATTTCGTTTAAAGTGTAATGTAATTCGTTATTTTATCGAAGTAATTGTATTTTAATTACATGTTATTACTTTTCTGAACGAGAGTAATGGTAGTGACCCGAAAATTGTAATGGTAAAAAATTCAAGGTAATTGTAATTAATGCATTACATTTCAAAGTAATTGATCCCAGCTCTGATAGGTAATGTGCATTATTGGCAATAATCTTATACTTGTAATTGAAGGGGGTAGGTAATACAAAATATGGAGTTTATACATCAAAATTCACAGTTTCTTTTTAAATAACAAACCCACTTTCATTCATGTTAAAGGACTCCATTAACGACCTTTCTTATAAAATTGGACAAAATGAATGCAATTTTCACATTTTACAATACGTACATAAAAAGGAATGAAGTCTACTCCTGGAGTCGTCAGATATCGTAATTCACCTTAAACAGTTCATGGAAAATGCTTATGGCAGGTAATGCAAAGTATGGACATTTCTTCAAAATTTAAGATGAAGAGTTCGACAAACAATTTCAATATTTTTTATTGTGCTTTTGACTGTTCCAATAAATATACATGGCTAAAATATACAGTAGCTAGTGGCAAACTGTGAAGAAAGTTGTACAGTAACAGTCAATTACCATTATTATAATTCATGTCCCGAATCGTTTCAAAACCAGAAAAAAATGGAAGTTTCTTCAGAGAAAATAATCCTTGAATTATATAAAATTAGATTTTTGAAAAAAAAAATTATAATTTGAAAAAAAGATTAAATAAACAATTATCATGCACTCAGTAGCGTGCAATTATATTTTATTTCTTTGAACAGTGATAAATACAACATACATACATGTAAATGTGATATACAATAAACCATCTGTTATTAAATAGAACTCTTATGTCTTTGATAAGGATTACAATTGCGTTGTACAAGTTCATTTTCATTTGTTTTGTCAAGAATGAAGTCGAACCAAATCATTTTACAAGTTATTTGTAAGTACATGTATAAGCTTTTAATTCTCTTTTTCTGTAAAACATTTGTTTATATTTTTGCATGTGTTTAACATATTCTTGCTGTTCGATATATTAAGATGTTAGATGCATGTCACCCGCATGATCTTTTGCAATAGTTATATATATGATATATCACAATACAAGTACATTTGAGATCTATGCTAAGTAAATATTGGACATTGTTTATGTTCCTGTGAGAAAAGGAGATGATCAATGTAAGAGTTTCATTTCCCCTCTGACAGCCCAAGTACGTTGCCTTACAATGTCAACAAGGTCATCACGATACAAAAAAACTAAATGCAATATTAATAAGTGCTAATTGTAACGGGGACCGTTACAGATGTTCCTTAAACGGCTCCCCAATCCCTTTTGATGCCCCATTCCCTACAAGCTTCATTAAATTAGGCAATACTTTTGTAATATAGATGAACACTTTATTTTTAAGGGTATTTCATTGGTAAACTACTCCGATATAGCCATATAGGTATTAGCCAAACAAATTTTATCGCATGTGCTTGCACATGTTTTCTACATTTTCACATAATTTTTTTATGTCTCACAACATATACATTTGTTTAAAGTCATATATGGTGTATTTTTTTTTAAAGTTCAGACTAACTAAAATTAAAAAGATCTTTCTATTTGTTTCACTACTTTATATAAAGATAGGACTTTCCTGTAAATTACACAATTTAAATCAGTCACGTTTCAAAGATATCAAAAATTTAAAACAATAACCGATTTATTTACCGACTCCGCATCTAAATAACAGACACAACTTAAAGTCAATTTAACTAAGGAAACACGAGGTTATTCAAGTTCAAAATAGGTGAAAATTTTAATTTGAACGTAGATAACATATATCATGTTTATCTACACTCAATCTCGTATTTTTATTTTTTTAGCTCAGATACGCCACATATAGCTTTAAATATCAAAGAATTTCATTGAAAAATATGAGATATAACCATTTAAGTATTAGCCAATCAGAATTCAGTACACGCGCATGCATGACGTTGCATTCAAATTCAATTTTGATAGTTTCGTAATGTAGGAGCCCAATGCGACTATCTATATTATAATTTTTATCCTGTTTTGTTGAAAACCAAGGGAGTTGTAGCCATTTAAAGTTTCAGTCAGATTGCAGCATACCTGCATGTGCGTGTTTTCAAGAAATTTCCTATGTTGTGATGTGTTGTAGAACCACATGATTTATACATAAATTTTAAATTTCAAAGTATTCTGTCAAAAAACAAGGAAGTTATTGAGATTTTTGTATCAGTCAATCAGAGCGAAGCGCATGTGCATGCGCGTGGGTTCATGCTAATTTGACCATGTCATCTTATCTAGACTACTAATGTATCTTTATATTCTGAGTTTCAGAGCAATTCATCAAGAAATATAAAAGTTATGCTATATTAAGTATACCAGTCATTTCACTCATCGCACGCGCGCACACGTGCATGCATGTGCGCGCAAAATGACCTTCGTTCCGCACATCTACACAACATGCCTATTAACCCTAAAAAGGTTTCATCTCAATCGGATAGTAGAACACTCGCGGACAAAAAAGTACCGGAGAAGAAATTTTGAAAAAAGAAAGTAAAAAATGATATGTTTCCAATCTTCGTTTCGGGAACATAATAAGGTTAACAAATTATATAATGTAGAAAGAACAAAGAGAAACTAACCCTGCAACAGGCATTTTTAGGCAAAATACCCTGACCTATTTTTAATACGTTTTTTTTGGTTGTATTTTTTGTTATATTTGTTTTTCATTGTAGTTATCGTTAGTACCATCGTAATCTCAGAATCATTTCTGTCTGGTAAGTCACAAGAAGGACGTGTTAAATACATAATGCATTTCTAATCAGGCCATCTTTAAAAATTTGTTTATCTGCCCTCTCCCGACCGATTGGCTAGAAATGGCCCGACTCAAAACTTTTTTTTTAAACCCCAGGAAACAATATTTTTATTAGGGATGTCAATTTTGTCAGTAATTCATATTCGAATATTCAAAGAAAGTATTCGAATATATTCGAATATTCGATAAAATAAATAAAATCTGTTTTATTTTAAATATGCATCATCCTACTCTCGTGGAAGGTTTAGCGTAGGTATACTTGTATTGGAAGTAAAATTGTATGAAGACTTTTGTAGTTGTTCAGTAAGAAATTCCATTTGATATTTGTCAACGTTTGAAATAAATAATTGATTTAAATGTAGAAAAATATAATTTTAGCAAATGAAACGTGTATTTATATTTTATAGTAGCTCCAACTGTGGAACCAGTCGTCTTACCAAATGTAAGATATATTCGTAACGGTATACTGTTCAGATTTCAATACGTGTAATAAATTACAATTATCTGCCTAATAATAGATACATGTATGATTATAACCTTTGATACAATGTTTTTAGAATATAAACAAATATTTCCATAGACAATTTTCTTAGGTAATTAACTAATTCCCCGATAATGAATATAAAATTCAGGATTATGTACAACCCGAGATAATCAAGTAATTTACACATTTATTCTGAAATTGAGCCCTTTACAATATTAATTACAGACTAATTATATCGGACATTCATTCAATGATCAATTAAATTTATTTTGATAATTATACTCTTCAAGTCTTTTAGACATTCTAAGAAGGTTTTCATTTTGTTGTCCTCGATTCTACATCCGATCGTATCTAACTAATAAAAACTATGAAAGTACGTTTTGTATTATATATAAAGCATTATTGTGCAGTTCTTTAACACCTTACTCAAAACAAAATATTAAACAGGGATAATTCCAGCACGGTTCTAATCAAAATTTATTAACCACAGTTCTTCTTTTTATGAAATCTGAAAAACGCCGAATATTCGAATCTTAAATTCATATTCGAATATCAACTCATCGAATGAATATTCGAATGTTCGAAATATTCGAATATTCGTTGCCATCCCTAATTTTTATGCATTCCGGAAAAAAGATTTTAAAAATTCAGCATTAATTTGAAAATTTTCTGTGAAAAAAACCCCCAATAATTTCCCACCTACCTACAGACCCAATTTTTTCATCCTGAGTAGGGAGAGGGCAGGCAAACATTGTTTTAAAGTTGGTCTCATCGTTCAATTTTTGTTTATTTACTTGACGTTTATACTTTTTGCTTAAAGATCTCACAAGTGTCACATTCCTCTAGGTATTCAACTCTCGTCCTTTTTAATGTACTTTCTGTCGTTCTTTATTTTTGAATAGTTCCAAATCCTATTTAAATTTAGTGCAAATCTTGAATTAGCGCTTGTAGTGTTTTTTTAAACACCATATTCATGATAATAAATCAAAAACCATGCTTACCATTTATAACACCTCATATAATATCTTATTATCAACTTTTATGAAAAGGTCAAAAACTATTGTTAAAAAGATACAAATATTATTGTATAAATGGGTGAAAAGTCATCTCACTTATAACGCATTATCAAAAGGGGGGGGGGGTGTCAGTGATTACCACAGAGCTCATGAACTAAACAACTTTGACAAATAATGCATTCTATTAAAATAAGTAAAAAATAATAGCATAGAGATACATGAGGTACTCGAAAAATACTTTTATGAACCAAAACTATAAAAGCTCAAGATTATAATTAAAATTTGTAAACCTGGAAAAAGTGTCATATTAATACATCCTGACTATACAAAGCTGTTATCTTATATTATTGTTAATTAACTTTTCTATTACTAAAATATTGTACAGGAACACCATGCCCAACGTGCGATATTAACTATAACTGTGAATGGAATCAAACTTGTGGCACTGGGGAGACCTGCATGGCGCGTGGCTTTACTGGCAACTTGTACCATTTTAAAACCCATTGTACGCCAGTAAGTTTCTTTTTAGTTAAAAATAAGTGTTCAAGAAACAATTTTTTTTTTTATCTCTCTCCATGATGATTTGTTGTTGACTTCATGAGTCTATTCAATATCGTGAAAAATTATTAGCGTTAAAATGGAAAAACAATATATTAATTTATTATACAGAGGAGTGATTGTCTTTTAATTCAATCAACGACCAAATATGAAGAAGTTTACTGCTGTGATGACAGAGAATGCCTCAGAAACCATTTAGGACTCTGGTCAGCTTAAGGGGATAAAATTGTGTCAGCAATAACACTTACCACTGACTACCAGGAGTTATAAGTTTCCGGATTAGATTTCTCTAAAATTGCTCTCAAAGATCTGAAAACAAGGGAGACTTGACTTTCAATTATTTATTCATTGTCTATGACTTTCTTTTAATAAAATTTCCCGAGAGTAATGTGTTAAATTTGTTGCTATTTCATTCAAATGTATCTGTAGTAGCGTATAGTATAGTATAGTATAGTATAGTATACACTTATCCACTGGCTGTGAGTGGGATAGCTCTTTTATCAAACCCGCGACAGGAACTATTCCCCGAGGGCTTGCCCGAGGGGAATAGTTCCTGTCAAGGGTTTGATGAAAGAGCTATCCCACTCACAGCCAGTGGATAAGCGTTTTATTATACTGATGTATATCATAATTTCTAAGGGTTGGATTTACCTGATACTACAGTTCGATAGTAAAAACATGAAAAAAAAATAATTATAAAAGTTTTAAACAAGTATTTGGAATAAGATAACACTGCTAGAATGAGCTGAAATCCTGATGACGTCACAATGCTACTGAAGTTAGGATGACATCATAAGTCTATCTATAGATTGATTACAAGAAATCAAACTTGGCGGCAAAAATTGCATGAAAATTTTCCGAGGGGTGGATAGCAAAAACTATACCCTGGGGTATAGCTTTGCTATGTGTGGAAATTTTGAGACTATAAAGATAGTTAGTTTACCTTCTTAACTTTATATAGGAAACATTTTAACAGAAGTATAATAATATAGTATAGTATAGTAGCGTATAGTATAGTATAGTAAAGTGTCAACAAAAATGTTCTTATCCAATGCATACTGATGTACTTGTATCATTTTTGAACAATTTGTCTCAATAACATGGCCAATTGGGCTAGAGCTATATGTAACGTGCGAGCATCCCATTTTGGGAATTGCGTTTTTTTCTTTTCTTACACCTTATTCCCGGTATGTTCTTTTATGAATCAAAAAATAAATGAGTTGGCCCGGATTGTATCGATGTACTGCCATTTTATTAGGTCACCTGAGTCCCTCAGGTGACCTATTGCTGTCTGATTTGTGTCCGCCTTCGCGCATTTACATTTGAACATTTTAAAATTCTTCTCTGGAACCGCTGAACCAATTTTGGCATAGAGCATCTGTGAGTAAAGCAAATATTGTGAATGTTCTTGGTCCCTCCCCCCTTGACGCCTGAGGCCTCAATCTGCAATCTTTAAAAACCATCCTTTTTACTCCTGGAAATCAAGCAGTTGAACTGTTGTCTTGGATGTAATAGCATAAGCTCTCTATCAAAATTGTGAAATTCATGTTCCAAGGGTCAGGGTTTTTGTGTAAGGGCGGGGCTGTAATGATCATATAGTGAAAATGCATAAATTCTTCAAAAATCTCTTCCCCTGTATATTTAGCAGATAAACTAGGTGTATGGTTATGATGATCAAGGGTGCCTCTTCCAAAATTGTGAAATTTATGGCACAGGATAAGGGGTTCTTTGGGAGGGGTCTTTATTAATTATATAGTGAAAATGCATTATTTCTTTTAATTTTTTTTCTGCTCATAGGTACTGAGGAAATTTGCTTAGTTATGATGAGCAAGGGTGCCTCTTCCAAAATAGTAAATTTCATGGACCCCAGGGTCAGGGGTTCGGCGGCGGGGGCTATGGATTATAAAGTGAAAATGCATTATTTCTTTGAAAAATCTCTCTGCTCTTGAGTAGCAAACATACTAAATACATAGTTATGATATGCAACGGTGCTTCTTCCAAAATTATGATTTTCTCGGCCCCTGTGTCAGAGGCCCTGGTGTTAGGGTGGGCTCTATTTATTACATAGTGAAATGCATTCATTCTTTTAAAAATCATCTCCTGTGTCCCGGATATTGAACAGATAAACTACTTTTAAGTACATAGTAATGATGAGAAAGTGTGCCTTTTCCGAAATTTTGAATTTCATGGCTCCTGGGTCAGGGATTTTCATACGTCCCGCAAACGAAGTTCGTCTGTTTGTGCTATCTTGTCCGGGCTATAACTTTGTAATAGAGAATCATTGGAAGTTCATACTTGGTACAGAGATCGCTTAAAACTCGGGATGTGTCTTGACCTTGACCCAAAGTCATTTGGGCAAGTTCAAGATCACTGACATCAAAAAGTATAAAATTCTGCTCGGGGGTATAACTCTGTAATGGAGAAACATTAGGAGCATTCTTGGAACAGAGATTGTTATGGTCAGAGAGTTTGCTAGGCCTTGATCCAAGTCATTCTAAAAAGTTAAAAGTCACTAACGGAATAAGTAGAAAATTCTTGTCGGGTTATAACTTTGTATTGGAGAATCGTTGGAAGCTCATACTACGTACAGAGATTGTTAGTGACCTGAGGTTGTGTCATGACCTTGAACAAAGATCATTCTAACAAGTTCAAGACACTGACAGAAGAGGGATAAAATTCTTGTTGGGGCTATAACTTTGTTATGGAGAATCATTGAAAGTTTATGTTCGGTACAGAGATTATTTATGAGAGTATGTCATGACCTTGACCAAAAATACTTTCTAGCAAGTTCAAGGTCACTGGCATAAAAGTATAAAATTCTTGCCCAGCTTATAAAATTGTAATGGAGAATCATTGGAAGATCATACTTGGTAAAGAGATTGTCAATGATCAGAAGGTATGTCATGACCTTGACCGAAGTTCAAGGTCACTGGTATTAAGAGTGAATTTCATGACAGGTCTATTTAAGAAACATTAGATGTCCACATTTCACTAAGATTATTTATGACCAATGTTTTTCTTTTTCACCAAGGTCTTTTTTGGCAAGTTCAAGGTCACATTTATAAAATTTGAATAGGCACTTAAAAAAATTGCAGCCGGGGGGGGGGGGGGCTAATTTGTGAGCTTACTCCAATACCTCTAGTTGTGTTAGGGTGGGCCTGTGTTGAGTCTATTGTGAAAATGCATTATTTTTTTGAAAATCTGCTGTTCTTTTTCTACGCAAACAGAGTTTAAAGTTGCAATAAGAAAGGGTATTTTTACCAGATTTTTCCATATTCTATACCACTTGATAAAGTATTCTGATGCTGGGCTGGGTTGTATTAATTTGTATTCTTCTGAGAGAAATTATTCCCTTTTGCTATTTACCTATGATAATTAATCACTGTAATTAATGTCATTTAAAGGTCAATTAAATAAGAGAATTATAGAATTTTTATATATGAAATATATAATCAAAGAGTACTTTTATTGTTTTAATGGGTACGTAGACTTGTAAATAATAGATACATAAAAATAAGACAAAAATACGTTATCGTTGTATGCATTAAAATTTCTTCAAAGCCAAGAGAAGCCAATCTAAGAAGAAATGAGAAGGTTTAAGAATTAGTGCTCAAGCAATGTATTTTGTTTAGTTGCATGGTGATAGTGAGAAATGGGGGCAAGTACACTCAAATAAATAGATCTACTTTAAGATTTGTAACTGAGTACTAAGACATTATTTTGTTGATCCCTGGTCATCCTCTTTCTCTTGGCCAACATGGCATTAGCTTCATCTATTAGTTTATTTTGTTTACTTCTTTGAATCCTTTACATTGTTGTATTATCCTCTTAGGTGACCGTTAAGGCCCTTGGGCATCATGTTACAAATAACTTGGGAAGGGAGTCCATGTTTAGGTTGCTTATTTATTTTAATTTTATACCAGTCGTGCCATTTAAGACATGAATCCGGATAGCAAGAAAACAAACAGATAACGTGAAGTCAAATCATATCTGACAATTATCTTGCATATTTACCCGATGCACTCTTAGCGTACTTTCGTTTCCGTAAAACATTCATAGTTGTTATGAGGTAGAACGGAAATATGCAGACCAGCTCGTAAGTTACGAAATTGATTCAATGCATACATTTCACATAAAAAACATGTGAGAGTAAACGTAACATGCATGTTTGATTTTTGATATGAGATGTGTCTGTATGTTACTTCTTTTAAAGATATGTATGTACTGTTTTCAGTATTGTAGCGTCTGTGGCTATTAGCTGTTTTCTCCACACTGTTATAGACTTTTTCAAGGACAACTTGAAAGATGACCAAAAGTTGGTGACAAATGTTAGTCAAATTCATGATCTGAAATTAAACGTGCTCAACCATGAGAAATGGGTAAATGAAACTTTGCAGGGAAATATTACAGCATTAGAATCGAAACTGACAAAAACGGAAGAAGCGGCATTGGGAGAGTGCCAAAAGATCACCAGTTATTTGCAGACGAACAAAATGGAGATGCAAACACTGGTAGAGAAGCAGAGAGAACAGCAAAAATTTATTATAGATCAAGGTACATGTATTAATTACTCATATTTGTTATAAGGTTAATACTTTAATGTTGGTCGATATAATTTTTTTCTCAGAATATTATTATCAATTAAACAACAATGACAAAAAAAATATTTCTTACCTAATCGAAAGCTAAGTGAGTACGTAAGAAAAAATCAGAAAATTTACCAGATGATACTATAGATGACATGATATAGTATTTCAGTTAGTTGGATTCAGTTAATGTATAAAATAATGCTCACGTAATGGATATGTCTTGTGTCTGTCAGGTTGTAAATTTTGAATTACCGGATGCAGAGACAAATATACAATGTTATATTTCTACTGGGTGACAGTAAAATTTAAACAAAATTAACGACATATATATAGTTTAAATTCTGAATTTACTGCCACCCGGTAAATTCAAAATTTACATGTCCGTGTCAGATACATTTCATTTTTTTTTTTTTTTAAAAATATAGTTTTAATTTAAATATGACGTTTCATTTTTTTAAATCTACATTGTTCTAGCATAACATATTCAAATGTATTTATAAATAATAACAGAAAGCAGACTTCGTATTAATGAGAAGGCTTTTGTTGATATGGAGAAAAAATTGGATAAGATGGAAAACGAACTATTAAAGTATAAAGAATCGCGAAATGGCCAGATTGACACAACTGATCCACCCACATCCTTAATTCAAGTAATTCAACAGCAGTCACAAGGTAAGTACTATCATAATATTTAATCATAGAATGAATGCGGGGGTTGTGGACTTGATAATATTATGGAGTTAGAGGATTTGTTGAACTCTGTATAATTTAATACGTGTACTCAGTCATCAAGGGTTTTACTTCAAAACTCCGAATGAAAGCTCTATATCAGATATGCATGCATTTGTTGCTCTGTATACATGTATTTACTTTTTTTTAAAACATACTTTGTACTAAATTGCAACTCTTTAACTATTCAATCCTAGAATTATTCTCAGTCTGCACAATTTATCAAACCACCAACTGGTATTTTTTGTTATAAACGTTGACCATCTTAAAAGGACACTAATGATGTAAATTTATGTACAAAAATAAATGAATTATATGCTTTCGAGATAAATGATAAACATGTTTACATGTTATGAAATTAAAACATTGAAGGACATGTATTCTCTATGTTGCTTTTGTAATCCCCTGTCTACCCCACCCTGAAAAAATGTTTTTAAAATTATTTGACTCTTCTAAGAATAGCAGCATTTTATATTCTTTGCTTTGAAATTCTACAACATCAGCAGTCAAAATTGGTCTTTCTTCATTCTATGTTTCAGCATATCTTCCAATCACAGTGTTCTTGTTGACTGTTGGCGAAGTTGTGTTGTTTATATTGGTGATTGTGTCCAGGAGGGTGAAGATAGCAGTGCCAAGTGAGAACGGTTTAACAAACGAAGCCCAGAAAAACCATAGAAAAAGAAACAGAGGAAAGATTCGTGATAATGCCTGAAAACTTAAAAAGTTTTACTTCAGTGACTGAAGCCGAATTAGCCTTCTGATCAGGAGTAGTCCATCGTCTGTCTGTTGTTAAAAACTTTTTATAATTTTGAATAATTTTTTTCAGAATTACTAAGAATAAGCCAGTTTCAGCCAAACTTGTCAAGAGGTGTCCTTGATTTAAGAGAAATCACATTTTATTCACGTTAATTAGAAAATAAAAATAAGGGTTTGAAATTTTCATTACTTTCTTCTCTGGAGCTATGGGACTCAAAACGATAAGACTTTAACAAATGAGTGGACTCTATCTTGTTCATATGACGAGTGTGCAGTTATTTGATCAGTCTACTCTAAGCACAGAAGTTTGCCAAGAGGTATAACACCAAAATGTATGACTTTTTAACTCTTTATACAACCATTTCTTACACTAAACACTAATTTATAGACCAGGTTTTTGACACCTATATATATATATATATATATATATATATATATATATATATATATATATATATACAGTGAAACCTGTCTTATCCGACATGCTGCGGGAAATAAAATCAATGTCGGATTAGACAGTGTGTCGGATTACCCAGTGTTGAATATTTCTTAACATTATGATTGGTGTCAGATGACTTCAAAAACAAATTTTTCATTAGGTTTAGAGTACATGTATATTTAATTGTCAAAATATTGGTATAATAATTATTGTGTGTTTCTTTGTTGTATAAAATATACCTTCGTTAATTAGCATTTCTACCTCTGTAGTAATATACAATGTTTTTTTAAATGGACAAAAGAGATGGAACTGCCGATCGCTTTGAGATGTTGCAATTTAATTTGTAGTATTTTACTAAAGCAGTAGATATTAAAGTAAATATTTCGTTTACATGTACCTTCTTTACACAGTGGTATTATTTTTTTCTACACTACATTTCTCTCCGATTTTTCTCCACTGTTTACTTCTCAACATAGACTGTGCTATTAATACTGTCACGCGACGTTTCATACAAACGGGACGTATCTCTAAAACATTGTGATTGCGATTGAATTTTTATCAAACAGTCGTAATATTTTAACATTTAATGGGCAGCTTAAAGCGGTATTTTGCTTCCCGCAAATCTTTTATGTGCACAGCCTTGCTTAATTCAGTGTATATTAACCAGGAAATGAAACTTTTTCTATTAGGCAAGATGTTGCATTCAACTTGTGTATTGTCTACATGTTACGTTCGCCATGCTCTTTTTTTTCTCGACATGGCTTTATGAAGGACTGACTGCATGTTTGATTTTAATTTCAAGCTAAAAATCTTATTTATTCTGTACGGTAAATGCAATCAAAATATCTCTTTTTATTTTCTGTCGCGTGGATAAACTATTTCTTAAATGTGAGAATAAAATTGATAACAACAAAGAGAATTGATTGCCTAATTTTTGAATTCAAAAACTGATCATTTAAACTTACATAAACACTTTCAAAGTACATGTAATTAACTACTCTCTAAGTAGACCAATCTTGTGGCCGAACGGGGTATTCATGTTACCTGGCCAGCGGCTAATTACGGAACACCTGTGTGATTATGTCGGATTACCCAGGTGAAATCATAATGTAATTATCTAGTTTTGTTGACAAAAAAGCGCCGGAATTCGGAATGTACAGTGGTCGGAATATACAGTGTTTTGTTCTATATAAAAAATAAAGAAATTTTTGGGAATAAAATATGAGGTCGGAAAGTCCAGTGTGCCGGATTGCACAGTTGTCGGATTGGACAGTGGGCACTGTATATATATATATATATATATATAAAATATTTAAATGGAACTCTGACATACTAGTATTCTGATTCTGCACACATGTACCCTGAAGTTGATATTGATCAGATGCTTGGGTTCCTCATTTACAATATCTATGTAGTCTTTTGAGACCAGGTCTTTCAACAAACTGTTGGAATTTCCATGGTTACTAAGTGTGCCCCTTTAATAGCAGAACTGTTTTTGTATCGTATGAAGCAGAATTTGTTTAAAATTTCTACGTGAACAGAAAAATTAGATACATCGACGACGTTTCATCATCATTGAATGTCTCTATCTGATACTACGTGTGAAATGGGAAACAGATATTTTCTCAAATAACATACATTTATAACACTAAAACAGCATGACCTTGTATATAATGGATAACAAAGATGTTTGATAGCAGCAAATAGATATTTGTTTCTGTGGCATTTTGTCCTGCATGGTCGGTAATACGCAGGAGACGATTCACTGTCCACACAGTACTAGTATTTATCTAAGAGAATCATTGTATTCTATCGTCTACATCCGAGTTTTTTTTTTTTCGACTTGACAGGGAAGGTTGAGAGATTGTGTGGTGTTAGGAACACTTTATTGTGAGAACTTCGTAATACGATTCTGATTTATTTTTTTCTTATTTCTTCAAATACTATAATGCAGTGTATTCTGGGGAATATTAGTTGCCTAGCTGGAATCTGCTTTTCTATTAGTTCTCTCCTACATTTTTCAGGAAAATCACTAAGTCCTCTCTTTTTAACATACGCTGTGGAGGGTTTAACGCTGGACCAGATCTTCGGGCACTATATGCAGATGGTATAAAATGCTTTGTTTTTGAGTATGAGTTCAAAGATATAGTAGTCACCTAACTTTCTTGAATTAGTGGACGATTAAAATAAGTATATGGTTTGTATATCATTATGGATTTCGGAAAGTCGAAGCGATGACTATACTAGTAACCAAGAAAAACAATGTTCTCTTATCCCCGAAAGTATACTGTGATGTTGAAATTTGAAATCTGGTTTAATTTTTATAAAATTTATTTAACATTGATGCATTGTCTCTGTTCATTTTTTTTTAATATAAATTGAATATTTTCTTTTTTTGTTGGCGATGTCACATGGTGTTTATTGTATTCATGCCAAAGGTGCAGTCTAGATTTAGGGTGAAAATAAAAGTGTTATTACTGCTAATCACTGATATTGCCCAAAGAGTGGCGTAATGCAATTAATTATTGTCTCTTAACTTTGAGGGATGGATCCCACGTTTCCCAAGCTTGAAAAGAAAACTACAAAACTAAGAGTTCATAAAACAATTAGACCTTTCCTTTGTTGGGATGGAGGACTCCATATCATGTGCAAAGTAAACAAATTAAAAAGAGTTATAAATATAATAAAATTTAAAGAAATGTTCGAAACTGCGACATTAACTTTTCTTCTGCTGTTAGAAATCAGAAGTAGTGTTCAAGGTATCACACCGGTAATTGACCAATCAAAAGGAACTTAGTCAATTGTAGTTCCATACATAATAAAGAAATATTTTTTTTTATTGTGAGAAATTTTTTATTTTCCCTTATTCTATTTTTACATTTTTGGTATCTGTGCTTAGGATATTTTATGTACTTTGTAAAATATCAAAGGTTTTTGACAGTAACTATTTCTTTCGGGGCATAGGAGGCCACTTCCTGGGGTGCACACAGGATGTTTATAAACACATTGAATACACGTGGTTTTGAGGGTATTCCTGTTTGCGAATGGAAAAAATCAGAAAATGCCGTGTACGTACCCTATTTTTTGGTGTCAGCTGATGTGACTGGTAACGTTTAACACTTCCTGCTAAATATTTTTTCATGAATTCCAATACCTGATTTTTAATGATTTTTTATTCTATATAGAATTACATAGTGAAAAAAATTACCGGTGTGATACCTTTATATAGAGGCTGACATTTTGGAAAGTAGTGTGGAGAGGAAAATAGTTTTCGGAGACATGATTGGTGTATAACAAAAATGTTGATTTTCTAATAAACATTCTATCTGAATTGTTTGATATTCTAAATGAGTTAAGAATTAGTTGAGGGCAAATTATTATATCAGACATGCATGAATTAAGAACTGAAACTGTTTTATATGGAAAACTTGCAAGACTGGGAGTGGCGTATACGGAAAGAACAGGCAAGATTAAAACAATCATCTGTTTGCGTCTTACTTCGAAGAACTTGGGAACCATCCACTCAAAGCCGCTGTTCGGCTCTCATTTATTCCAATTTCTAATTTTTCAAAGAAGATGGGCATGTTATCTGCAGGAATCATCCGTACGAAACTGTCGGCTGGACAGACTTTCCAAAGTTATGCACATAGGAGAATGTTACATTTAGTTTGAAATATCTTGTCAAATTGTTATATTTAAGTCCGCTTATCTTAATAATTACTACACTCTATAACACAGTAATGCTTTACATATAAATAATAAACACCTATAATATAATAAGGGTATAGGTAAATGCAATTACGAGTACATTTGTATACAAGATAATTTATTGATACAAAGCATCAAATCGGCCGCAAAATTTTCACCGTGCTGATCATGATACCCCTGGATCTATGTCTTGATGTTGCTGACTATGTCTGCAGATGATGAACACCTCAAATAAATAAACAGATAAATGTGAAAATAATGTCGAAAAAAAATGTGTTGTGTAATTAGCAGCTGCAGCAACTTCAAAACGAAATTTAATGCCAATTTTTCTCTTTTGTAATGAAAACTTGTACTGAGTTGATTTTAACATTACACACTCCTACTTTAGGGAGCGCTTCTTGTATAAACTTTTGGTGAAATCATTATAAATATATCTTGTTAAAAATAAACAAAAATTTGAACGCATTACTATCAATTATAAATAGACAATATAAAACATGTTTCTAAAAAAAATTATCCATAACTTTTATGCATGCTATGATCAATAAAAAATTATTCCATCGAGACAATTAAAAAAAACAAACACTATTTCCCCATGTGCACTTCCTAACACAACCACTAAATAGATCGGCCGATAATTAAAGTATCAGTATGTTGGAACAATTGATTTCGCTCTCGGTGCAACAGAAATAGAATTTATCCATTTTAAAATAAAACAGTACATAAAATTAAACTGATAAATGAATCGACTGTTCGCATTAAAAAAAAAATAGTTGCCACGTAAGGATCGAACCACAAAATTATCGATTCCTTTGCATTGGACGGATAACGCATACTACTGAATTATATATAATCGCTACACATGATATGGATTTTAAATCGACAATGAAGCACCGCATTTACACATTGGACTTTTTCCCCGAAAAATTTCATTTTTTATGGTCTCTAGGTCTTCTCTCCATTTTTTTTTTTTTTTTTTTTTTTTTTTTTTTTTTTTTTTTTTTTTTTTACAAATGTTTATTCGTTTCTTTGAATTATA